AAATTACAATGCAGCTGAAAAATTCCTATCACCTAGCAATGTTTTAATGATCCAAACTGTATGGGCCTGGGCTAATGTATGCGCTTTGGCCTTAGTTTTTAACAGTTAAAAACAAATGTTTGAGAAGTTAAAAATGATTTTAAATTTTAAAAATAGATAAAAGTAGCCAGGTGTCGTGACTCACACCTGTAACTCTAGTACTCTGGGAGGTCAAGGTGGAAGAATTGCTTGAGTTCTGGAGTTTGAGGGCAGCCTCAGCAAGAGCGAGACCCCAACTCTACTAAAATAGAAAAATTAGCCAAGTATTGTGGTGGGTACCTATAGTCCACGTTACTTGGGAGGCTGAGGCAAGAGGATCTCTCAAGTCCAAGAGTTTGAGGTTGCTGTGAGCTATGATGCCATGGCACTCTACCCAGCACAACAGAGTGAGACTATGTCTCAAAAAAAAGAAAAAAAGTAGATAAAAGTTTATATAATAGGACAAAAAGAGCTGGACAATATGTCTGTGTTTTAGGCTGTGTTATTACCAAAGAGCCAAAGTTAAATAAACACTTAAAGTTTATAAAGTAAAAAAAGTTACAGTAAGCTAGTCATTCCTTTTTTCTCCAAAAAACATTAATTAAGGTAGTACAAGTGACTTTATTACATGTATATCTTGTATCATGCTTAAGTCAGGGTTTTAATGTGCCCGATGTCAGAATAGAGTCCAGTGTACCCAATAGGTAAGGTTTTGTTTTGTTTTGTTTTTTGAGACAGAATCTCAGTCTAGCTCACTGCAACCTCAATCTCCTATGCTGAAGCCATCCTCCTGCCTTAGCCTCCTGAGTTGCTGGTACTACAGGCACCCACCACAACCCCTGGCTAGTTTTTTCTATTTTTAGTAGAGACAGGGTCTCATTCTTGCTCACGCTGTTCTCAAACTCCTGAATTCACTTGCCCTTAAGCCATCTTAGCCACCTCAGCTTCCCAGAGTGCTAGTATTACAGGTATGAGTTACTCTGCCTGGCCTGAACAGGTAAGTTTTTATCTCACAACCACCCTCCTGCCCTCTCTACTTCTTGGTTTCTTGTGTCCTTATGCTTTGTGCCTATGTACACTCATCTGTTAGCTCCCACTAGGGTTATTCTTGAAGAAAAATCTTTTTTATGAATTTATTTTTTATTTTAGTTTTTTGAGAAAGAGTCTCATTTTGTCACCCTCGGTAGAGTGCCATGACATCATAGCTTACAGCAACCTTAAACTGTTGGGCTCAAGTGATTCTCTTGCTTCAGCCTCCTGAGCTGGGACTATAGGTGCCCACTACAACGCTCGGCTATTTTTTAGAGATGGGGGTCTTGCTCTTGCTCAGGCTGGTCTCGAACTCCTAAACTCAGGCAATCTACCTACCCCGGCCTTCCAGAGTGCTAGGATTAGATGAGCCACCCCGCCCGGCCTTTTTGATGAATTTAGTGTGGCCTGAGGGTATTGAGAGTAAGGTCTGCAGCAGTGTGCAGTAATGGCCTAGGCCTTCGTGTTCATTCACCGACTCAGTGGGCAGCTTCCAGGCCTGCAAACTCCATTCATGGTAAGTGCCCTACTCAGATGTACCATTTTTTATCTTTTTACTGTGTTTTTACTATGTTTAGACACACACATACTACCGTCATGTTATAAGTGCCCACAGCACTCAGTGCGGGAATAGGCTGTTCAGGATGTACTCTACAGTATACTCTATGACATTTCAATAGTGACAAAATCACCTAGTGATGGCTCAGCGCCTGAAGCTCAGGGGCTATGGAGTCAGCCACATACACTGGAGTCAGCCACATACACTGAACCCAGCCCAGGTCTGCCAGACAACAATGACAACTATAACCAAAAAATAGCCGGGTGTTGTGGTGGGCACCTGTAGTCCCAGCTACTTGGGAGGCTGAGGCAAGAGAATCATTTAAGCCCAGGAGTTTGAGGTTGCTGTGAGTTGTGGCACCATGGCACTCTACCGAGGGTGACATAATGAGACTGTCTTAAAAAAAAAAAAATCACCTAGTGCTGTATTTTTCAGAACATGTCCCTGGTGATGCATCAGCAATCAGTGATTGCATCTATTAATGGTGCACAGCCTCTGCCCTCCTGCACAGAGCTGTGTGCAGTTTCTTCTCTCACCTCTATAGAAAAAGGACCAAGGAACCAGCTGTGAGGGAACTTGGTAAATCCGAGACCAGGTGGCCCCATCTGGCAGGGATGGAGATGAGGATGACTTTAAACCTTGAATTTCTGCTCCAGGGTCTCAGAGAAGGACTTAGGAGGCCACTTCCTCTGTATTGAAGATCTGAAAGGGTGGAAATGAGCCACTAACTCTGCCTGGCCAGGGTTGCCTCATCCCTGTCCCCTCCCACCCAGGCCCACATCCTCCCAGCAGATGCTGGGCACTGGGCTGGCAGACGGGCTGACGGCTGAGAGCTCCTTCCCTCTCCCTGAAGGACCGAGGGCAGGGCCCCTCCCCAGGCAGCAGGCTGCCATCTCTAGGAGACAAGGACTCAGTCTGTCAACAGATGTGGGCAGGTGAATAAGGGCTCCCAGGGTTGAAGGTCTGTGTGCCCAAGTGTCCTCAATCCCAGGCCAAGGCTGACCAGACTAGCTTCCTTTGCCCTGGGACTCTCTGGGGGCTTGGGTGGGACAAGAAAGTGGTTCTATGAGCCCCACCTCAGCTTGAGAGAACTCAAGGCCCATCTGCCTGAATGGATCCAGAGCATCAGCTGTTTGTCACAGTCAAACCTTGGAAGCTATTCCCCTTCTTACCTATGTGTGTCCTCAGGGTATCTCCCGATCCCTGTTCCCCTGACCCCAGGTGGTTCTCAGGGTTTCCTTGGCATTCCTAAGTGGACCTCCCTGTCTGTAACCTATTGAAGCCAAGAGTTGGTCCAATGATCCCTAAGGAACTTTAACATCTAGGAGCTAAAAACCCTCCACACAAGACACAATTGAATATGCGGCAAAGACACACATGGACACAATGACCTCCAGGTCTGGGTCTGAGTCAGACCATCCCTCTGTGGTGTGCCTGTGGCCCCTCACTCAGTCCCATGGTCTGAGTAAGGGGAGGGACACAGGACTGCCATAGACTAGGTGAGAGGTCTTGGGGCTGCCCAAGAGCTAGCTAAGGACAGGTTGGGACCAGGTATGAGACCCTTGGAGGGAGGCCAGGGAGACAAAACCACCAAACTAGGTAATGATACACGTCAGTCCCTGAGAGCTGGACATGGAGCCGGGAGCTCTCCAGCTGCAGGTTAAGCAGTCCCAAGAAGCCTGATTCCAAAGCCCACCTTAAGCCCATGATATCCCCCAAGACAGGGCCTATACCAGGCCCTTCAAGGAAAGAAACTGGAACCTCTCCCTCCCCCAGACAAAATTCCAAGAAAATGCCCCCCCCCCGCAGTGTTCCTGAAGGAGCTGTCTCCACGCACCTAGGAAAACTGAGGCTGAAGGGAAGGAGCTGACCCAGGTCCCTCACTACTCACTTACCAGGCCAGAGTTATTGCTCTCAGCTCCTCTGATCTGTGGCCCAAGGCCCCAGACCCTGGACCCTAGGGGCAAGGCGGGCGCACTGCCAGAGGCCTCGTCCCTGTTCTGGCTTTTCTAGGGAGCCACAGTGACCTCTGAGTACACAGAAGTCACACCCTTCTTCCTAGGCCTGGGCGGGTCTGGGCTGAAGGCACCTGATAACCTCCCTGGTACATCTGTGGGGCCCCATCAGGCCATAGCAGAATCTGAGCTGCATCGAGCAGGGAGGTGGCCCCCGAGGACAAAGAGGACTCATGGGGCCTTCACCTAAGCAGGGAGAGGCCAAGTGTGCTAGGCCCCTCCCATGACTCGAAAAGCTTGGTGGCAAGACTGACTGATCTCCTAGCTAACAAGAGGGACAGTCAGAACTTTGGCCAGGCCTAAAGGAAAACACGCAACAGCCTGAAAGGAAAGTGACTTCAGGCCCTCCTTGGTGGGTTTCACAGCAGACCGGCCATACCTACAGTGGCTGGGAAGGCCAGGGAACCCATGGGATGGAGTGTCTGGGAGTTTCTGCCCATGATCAGAACCTTCTGGGCTATTCTGGAAGCAGAAAGGAATGAAAATCAAAGATCCAGACATCAAAGGCAAGCAGGCCTGGATGGAGACCACATGACCTCGGCTAAGTCACGTCACTTCTAAAGCCTCGGTTCCTCATCTGGAACATGGTGATGGTTCACGTTCTTTTCATGGAGCTGTTGTGAGAAGTGAGTGAAGGGAGCCCAGCCCTGAGACAGAGGGGCCACAAGGTGGAGCCATGGAGACTCAGACCCAGGTGAGCCCAAAGGACCACAGCCTAGCCTAACCATTACAAAGTCCTTTATTAACAAGTCAATAAAAAAGAAGACAGAGATGTAAAAATACTTTTCTTAGAGGCCCCAGGAGGGGAAGGCACTGTCAGGACTCACCTGCCTCAGGAAGGCTGCCTAGCTAGAGGCAGAACGGAAGTCAGGGCCTGGTCCTGGTGGCAGCTGGCCCAAGGAGGCTGAGGATGGAGGATGGGAGATGGCTCGGGCCTCAGGCAGGGATTGTGCAAATGCTGAGGCCATGCAGGGAGTGCTGGGTTAGGCCCCAAACACCGTGTTCCCCTGTGGGGGCAGACACATGGTGGGGCTAGCACCTGCCCACTCCACCTGTGGGTGTACACATGTGTCCACACGAGAGCCGGTGCCTGTGCACAGCTTACATACAGAAAGTGGAAAGAGGGGTCCCCTAAAAGGAAATAGGGGGCTCTTCCCTGAGCTTGAGGAAATAGCTTAAAGAAGTCTCTGCCATCCTGGGCAATAGACTGAGACCTCATCTCTACAAAAAACAAACGAACAAATTAGCCAGGTGTGGTGGTATGCCTATAGTCCCAGCTACTCAGAAGGCTAAGGCAGGAGGATTGCCTGAGCCCAGGAGTTTGAGGTTGCAGTGAGATATGATGATGCCACTGCACTCTAGCCTGGGCAACAGAGTAAGGCCCTGTCTCTAAAAAAAAAGTCTCTGGAAGCCTGGAGACAAGGAGAGAGCAAAAAGGTGGCTCTGTTTCTCACTGGCCTTACGAGGCCAGGCTCTCCTGCCGTCGCTGGAGGACTTCAATGACGCTGCCGATACCATCCTCAGGTACCTGTGGGCAGGTAGGTAGGAAGGAAAGGTTAAGGCTACCCAACTTCCTGGCCCAGCTGACACTACTTCCTGCCACCCACACTTCTGAGACTCACTGTCCCTGCAGGAGCCCCCCACCCTAGCCCGTGATACTCACCAGCGCGTGGTCAAAGTTGAAGGTGCTGATGTAGTAGGCAGAGATGTCAGCAGCGGCCAGGGGGCCTGCAATCTGGGCCACGATCCCACATTCATCTAAGAGTGGAAGAGGTGTGCATGTGGCTCACCCCAGTTGCCCAGAGGCCCTCCCAAACTCCCAACCCAGGGAGCAGCTCTCACCGAAGCCCAGGGGCTGTCCACCGATGCGCACCATCCTCCACAGCTCCCCTGAGGAGCTGGTCAGCAGTAAGTCACTGGGGAACCTAAGGGGGCAGGTGGGTGGTGGGCAGGGCACCCCCATCTGCCCCTGCCCTACCATAAGCCCTTGGGTGGATCTGCCAACTGACCTCAGGGTCTAATGCCCCCCCCCCCAACCTGGGGCTGCTTAGGGTCTGGCCCAATTGGGGTTAAGGGTCACATACTTTTTCTGCGTCTCAGCATCCATGACAATGGAAATATAGCCCTCAATGAGAGAGAAGGCAAAGAATGGGATGGAGCTGGGTTCAGGACTGCCACAGACTGCCTCCTTGGGGGTGCTGGGGGAGGGACAGGATGTTCAAGGGCTTCGCCAGGCACCCAGCCCACTCCATCTCCTCCCAATCAGCCTCCAGACCACTAGGAAAGGGCTAGCATGGATGGCCTGAAAGCCCTCCTGTCTCTGCTTCCCTGTCTAGGGGTCCAGCCTTCAGGAATGAGGGAGGATGATGAACTTTACCTGTGCCAAAAATGAAGGACCCTAAGGGAAGAAGGCAGGACCAGGGTATAATGCAGGGATGGTTTTAGCAAGACCACAGGAGAGGGGTGGCGCCTGTGGCTTAGTGAATAGGGGGCCAGCCCCACATACTAAGGGTGGTGGGTTTGAACCCGGTCCAGGCCAAAATGCAACAACAATAAAAAATAGCCAGGTGTTGTGGTGGGCACCTATAGTCCCAGCTACTCAGGAGGCTGAGGCAAGAGAATTGCCTAAGCCCAAGAGCTGGAGGTTGCTGTGAGTTGTGATGCCACAGCACTCTACTGAGAGAAATAAAGTGAGACTCTGTCTCTAAAACAAAACAAAACAAAACCACAGGAGAGAGCTCCAGCTTTGGGGTTGGGACCTTCCCTGAAAGTCAGTTAAAGGCAAGTGACCATTATGGGTTGCCAGGAACCCCAAGACATGAGACAAGGCACAGAGTTGCAAAATCAACAGATCCTGGTGGTAGGACACAGCACAGGAAACAACGATGTGAAAATAGAGACAAAATGCAAACAAAGCCCACCTGTGTGAGTAGAAAAGGACATCTATGAGGGTGGTAGCGATGGCTGGCAGCGTCTCAGGGTCCAGGGTGAGGACACAGAAGCGGTTCTGCGGGCTCTGGATGGGATGCACTGTGGGGCTGGGTCCTGCTCAGGAGGACGAGTTGGCAGGTGAAAAGGCATTCATGGGCTGGGGTGCCCTCTGGTGGCCACTGAGGGAGGGGCTTGGGCCATGGTGGATCATGTTCTCCAGGAGCAGGTGCTTGGGGGGGTCCATCTCCTGTCAGCTGGTCTCCCCACATCCACAGACCCACCCACACAAGGGATAGGCCCCAGTGGGAAGAGGAGGTCCTGCCCAAGTTTGGGTGTCAGGAGGCAGCCCTCACCATGGTGGGCTCTGGGAAAGCCGTTGCTGGAACTGTCCCTGGCCACAGGAACAGGCTCCCCGCCCACCTCGCGGTAAATATGGAATTCCTGGGACAGTGTGTGGATCACCACCGATAGGTCTTGCTCCCGCACCTGGGCCACAGGCAGATGACACATCAAGTGGGTCCCCAGACACCCATGCCAACCTTGCCCTGCACCAGTGGGAAACTTACCAGGATGAAGTCCGTCTGGTAAGTGGATAGCATCAACACTGACACGTGGTGCTCAGCCAGAGGTGTGATGACCGAGCGGGCAATCTTGGTGACCCCAGCAGCCTGGACTGCTGCACCACTGTGAGATGACACATTCAGCACCAGCCATGTGGCCTCAGCCACTTGAAGGAACTCAGATGGGGGTAGCTCTGTGGTTAGGGTACACATGCCTAGTCAGGGGCTGTAGGGCTGGCACCTGCCCCTCTCTGAACCTCAGTTTTCCTGTCTGTGCCTTGGAGGGCACTATTAAAGTAATGGCAGGTCTGGAGACTGGGGATCTTTCCCTCAGTTCTGCTCTTAAAGTCTTTGTATATGCAGACTGAGAAGTATTTCAGGAGCTGGCCTGCTGAGGATTGAAACTTCCTATTTGAGATCTGAGTTCCAGATTCAGATAGACCTGGGTTCAAATCCCAGCTTTGCTATTTACCTGCCATATGACCTGAGGCCAATGATTTGAGGCTTAGTTCCCTCATCTGTAAAACAGGATGATAGCATCTACCTCCCAGATGGTGTATTCTGTGGGTTAGCAGACGCTTTGCACCACATAATACCACCAGGGGCCACCAGCAGATGAGTTGGCTGGTTCTTCTCCTTCCCCTTTTGCAGATTCAGTCTTCCCTACAGTACAAACAGGGAAACTAAGGCCTGAAGTGGAGCAGTGGTAGGTAGGCCAAGCTCAGTTGGCTGGCTTGAGACAGCAGGCCTGTGAGGTTGGGCCAAGCCATCAGGAGTATAAGCCCAGGGAGGGACCAGGCTGGTGTCCAGCCCTGAGCAGGGGCCAGGTCCAGGGTGGCTGCTGTTCACTCAAGCACAGCTAGGAGGCCGCCAGGACCCTGCCCTGGGATGGCTGCCTGTTCCTGCATTCCTTCCTCAACCCTCAGGCTCCACAAGTTCCCAGACCAACAGGGGAGGAGGGAACCCAAACCAAGGAGATAAGTCTTGAAGGATATATGTCCAGGAGGTTTTAACAGACACAGGGAACCATAAGTGAGGCCCTGCTGCCACCCAAAGACTGCTAATTGCCCCTCACATGCAACCCCTCATGGGTTTTAAGTTCATAAAGCACTTGTGGAGCTTCTATACCCATTTTACATAAGAGGAAATAGCTCAGCAAAGGGAAGTGATTTGCTCAAGGACACATAGCCAGTGAGTGCTGGAGCAGCATTTGAACCATGATCCACAGAGCTCTTGGGGGTGGATCCCAATACATGGTAAGGATCCTGCAAAGGGGAGAGAGACAAGCCCTTCCCATGCTCTCCCTTCCCAGACCAGCCCCCACCTTTAAAGCCCTCTTCGTCCACCATGAGCGTGTAATCCTCAGGGGTCTCCGTCAGGCTGAAGAACTTGCACCTGGTTGGGGGTGGGGAGCATCTTCAGCTTCGGGTGGAAAACTAGGGGATGGCGCCAGTGGACTTCTCTCCATCGGCCCTGAGAGACCCCCGCCGGGAGTCTTCCTGCTCCCTCAAGCTTCCATTTCCTCCCCAAGGCAATGGGGTGTGGGCCCCATCTCCAGGAGCTATTTTCCGCCTCCGACCTCCCTGGGAGCCCTCCGTTTTCCATTTCTGGAGGGAGGAGAGGCTCAAACCCTAGGCGACAACCCAGGGAGCACTGGACTTTGGGTCCTCTAGTCCAACCTCTGACTCCGCAGTGGCCAGGTACCGCGCCCCCATTTGACACCACTGAGTTAAGCATTGCCCACCCCAGGCTATTTGTGCCTTGGCCCAGGGAGGGGGCCGGATAGGCGGCGGTCCCAGGGAGGGTAGGCCCAGACCGGATGGCGGCCGGAGGGGGGAAACCGTACCCACCCGTTCCCGCTCGCCTGCCTCTTGGGGATCCTAATACTCCAACCCCAGCCCGGAGACTATAGCAGAGCCCCCAACCCCCATCTGCGCCCTCGAACCCGGGGGCGCACCGGCTGCGGCGGGGCAGGAAGAGAAGCTTGATGAGCGGGTGGGTGTAGAGCCAGAGACCGGGGCGGGCGAGGCTCAGCACCCGCACCCGGTGCTCTAGGATGTGCAGCTCCATCGCAGCTGGCGCTGACCCGACCCCGCAGCAAACTAGACCCAGGCCGCGCGGGAGGTGGGGCGCCGGGGGTGGCGCCCGGGACTTAAAGGAGCCGCTGAACCGCCGCGTCCACGCCGTCTGCTACACAGGGGACCCGCCCAGCCCGGCGTGGCAACTCTCTCCTTGACAGCCACGCCTTGCGTGAGGCGGGGCCTTATGGGGTGGCCACGCCTCCTCCCCTCCCTTGGGCTTCACCTCGCTTTCTAGTCCACTGGGCCGGCCCCGATGGTTCCGCCCCTTTAGCACCGGCTCTTGATCACTGCCAGACCCCACCCTCTCCGCATCCACCAGGTCCCGCCCCTGCCGCGCCCCTCTCTGGGCTCCGCCCTTTTCACAGGATGCCTGCGGTGCAGGAGTAGGCACATCCCGGAAGCTAGGGGTCCTTTCGGTCCTTCAGCCCCCCGCCACGCGGGTCGTATGACTGAGGTCATTGAGACTCGGATGAGTTGAACTGGAGCTCAGCTGGGACAAGAATGCTGCTCCAGACCCCTGAAGAATGCAGGGGCTTAGGTCTGCAGCTCAGTGGACTCTGTGATTCCCTCTCAACAGCATCAGGACACCTTTTTCCTTCCTCTCATGGCTCAGCAGGTGACAGGGCCAACAGCCCAGAAATGATATTGATGTATACCCATCCCCGCTTTGTGAGTGGGCTGACAAGAAATCTGGCCTGGTGTCCCACTCATTCTTCTCACTCAACTCTCAGAATATAAGTCTCCCCACCAGGGGCACAGAGATAAAGGTAAGAGATAAGGGTAACATCTCTACAAGAGCAACATATTTTGGGGGTAGGGGATTGAAGGTGGCCCAGCCTAAGGGCTTGAGGTCCTGCAGAACAAACCAAGCCAAGCAGTGCTAGAGCCAGGAACACCCAGGGCACAGACTTTGAGGATCAGGCTTATACAGGTGAGGGACTTTGAGGATCAGGCCCATACAAGTGAGGCTCACTGAATACTCAGACCTCAGACTTGAGAAAGGAGCCCTGCCAAGGCCTCCCCAAAGCCTGCAACAATTAACAGAACCCAACTGACCTGAGAGGAGGCCCCCAAGCACTGGCAGACACCCAGATTTATCAGGCCTCCACAGGTCTAAAAAGACACCAAGGCTAAACAGGCATCAGCATGCCCAAGTTGGCTCTATATAAGGGCCAGCCATGCTCCAGGACTCCCCTTGTCTGGCCCGAACACCCTGAAGCCTCACATCTAAACCAAGTAGGTTAAAGTAGGCCTCAGGCCTGATTGAGACATAGCAGGCCTCAGCAGGCCTTCTGCTGTTCTGGATCCTCTACCATAGGCAGATGGAAAACAAGCTAAACCTTCTCCCTGGACTTTCAGTCTCAGCACATTTCTATGGAACACTGTACAGCTGCCACATCCTGGCCTGCACTGTAGAGGACTAGGGAAAGGAGTTCTTCAAAGGATAAACCCATCTTGTCAATGGCAGCTACAGATGGAGGGGGGCACCATAGGGATGAGGAAGTAGGGGGCAGAAGTGTGGTGACCTGTCCTGATGGTCTCTTTTGACCTTTACCCTCCCTAGGCCTCAGTATCCCCAGCTGTACCAGGACAAGATGTTCCAGGCCTGCAAGCTCCCAGGGAGGTTCTGCTCCTCCCTCTCCACCCCCCTCCTCTGGCCTAGCTTGGTCATCTGCCAGGAACAGCCACTATTGTTTGACTGGAAAAGCTGCTTCCTCAGCAAAAGGGGGGCCTTTCCCAGAGACACCCTGTCCTCGCCCTCGCCAGTCATCAGGTTGTGACTGCAGGCCTGCCTGGCCCCAAAGAGAGAGATGAGTAAGAGCTCTGGGTGCAAATCTAGCTTGGCTTTCCTTGCTGGCAAGAGGGTCTGTTCCCACTCAGCTCCTGTTTCCTCATCTATAATATGGGGATAATAATAGAACCTACCTGACCAGCCATGGGACACAACCAGTCCAACCTGGCATATGGTAAGTGCTTAAATGGAAAGCAGCATTTTATCAAGGACACACATTTCTCCCCTCACTCGTCTGCCTCTGCTGGAGGTCTGGGCTAAGAATTTGAAGATACACATGGTGCTCCACCTCTGCTGCCAGCCCCTGGCCCAGAATGGGTACTCAGAAGCTTACTGGAGCCTGAAGTGGCATCTAGCCCACTTAGGGAGGAGCAAGACCCTAAAATCTCCTTTTTAAGGTCCCCCTTCCCCCTCAATGATAGACAGGGACCAAGGTGTGGGGAGCATGCCCTGCTATGCCCAGTCCTGTACTCCAGTTCAGTTGTCCCTCATCCATGACTGAAGATGGAAATGGGGCAGCAGGGTTGGGGTGAGTAAAAATGGGGGCTAAGAACAGGGGTTGGCCCTGGACTTGGCATGTCCTCTGGCACAAGTACTTCTCAGAGAGGCTCTGGTGCTGGGCTGGGGTCCAGGGCAGGGGCTTGTGTAGGGCATGGAGAAGAGTTGCTGAGCAATGGTGTGGTACCCTCTCTCTAGCTCCTAGTTGCACACCAGGTCTACACAAGCCTGTTTATTTCTGTACAAAACCATGTTTCTATTTTACACAAAAGAGCACCCCACCCACTCCCTTCATGCCAGTGCCCTCTTCCTGGGGAGCATCCCCCTAGGAGGCGGCGGCTGAGTGAGGCATCACCCACTTGGCCCTGGTGTCTGCCTGCCCTGTCCAGGCCCACGTGAGTTCCATTCTAGAGAAAATAAATAAAGAGGCTCAAATAGAATCTGTGCTGGGCCAGCCAGACTCTATCCCAGCACAGCAGCCAGGCAGTTGGGCCCTCAGAGAGTGGGCCTAGAATGTCAACCCAAGAATCACGTAGGTATATGGAGACCCCATCCCAGAGGCCTGAGCTGCCGGGGTTACAAGTAGGTGTCCTCACTCTCTTGGGATGTCAGGCTCTCCTGGGAGTGGTGGTGGGCTGAGTCCTGGGGAGCCAAGTCTTGAGGGGCTGGGTCCTGGGCTACTGGGTCCTGCAGTGCCGGGTCCTTTGGGGACACAGCCTGTGGGGGACATGCATCTCCTGCAGCGGCCACCATCATGGTTTGATTTGGGGCTGGGGTCTTGTCCAGCTGCCCACTGGCCTTTGTCCTCTTCTGCTGCTCCTTTTGGGCCTGCTTGGGTGGCTTGGGCTTGGGTTTGGAGCCAGGGAAGGGGGCATCTGGGACCAGGCGGATAGATGGTGAGGGTTGCAGGGCAGGCCAGGGGCCGGGTTCTGCATCCAGGATGGCCTTGGCACCATGTAGCCTGGGTGGGGAGCGGCATTCCAGCTCACCTCGGGTCTCCTGCCAGCGCCGCAACTGGATGAGGTGCTCACGCTCAATCTGGCGCTCTGTCACAGGCAACTCTACCACCTGCAGGGGCAGTGACAGGCAGATGAGCACCAGAAAGGACCTTCCCCCTCTGCCTCCCAGCGGGGCCCCCGCTCTCCTTCAGTGTCCACCAGCCTTGAAAACTAAAGGCTGACCCCAAGAAGGATGGGGGGGTCTAGTCACAAGCTGTAGTCATAGATCCAAGAGTTGAATGTCAGAGGAGCTGGAACCTTGAGACCCATTGCCTCTGAGAAGGCTGCCTTACAATTCATGAGTCCACTTGTCCCTCTATGGGGCGGGAGGGATAAGGCTCAGACAGGGCAAAAGCTGCTCTCTGCTAACCTGTCCCCTACTACTACCCAGGGCAGCCTGGCTGCCTGGGCTCAAATCCCAGCTCAAATCACCTTTTGGCTGAGTGACTCTGGGGGAGGTTGCTTTGTGATCCTGCCTCTGTGAGCCTCCATTTTATCACATATAAAATGGGGGTACTGCCACAGCTTTCAGCAGCTGGTGCGAGAAGCAGGTGTAAAAATGTGCTATTGCTTTTCTGCTTCTGCCCCACACACTGGCATCAGCCCTCCCCCCAGCCTGCCTCTTGCCTCAACCAAGAGAAGCTGACCATGTATATGTCACCTCATAGCCACTGAGAGATAAGTAGCCACAAAGAAAGTAAAAATGGAAAACAGAGCCAAAGCTGTGAATGTGGTACCATGGAAAGAGAAGGTTATGGGTCACTATTCCTCTTCATTCCTGAATGACTCAGATAAGGAAGCCCTGCAAAGCTAGGCCCCTTTGTGCCCCATGCTTCTCCCCAAGACAGGAAGATAAGGTCTACCCATACCCTCCTGGCTGCTGAGCAGCAGACCTGGTACAGGTGACCAACCTTCAGGGGCAGAAGGTTACCAGGTCTCCCACTCCCTTCTGGTAAGGGCCAGGTGTGGGTCATACCTCCTGGACCAGGAAGGTCTCCTGCATGATCTTGGGGCTGAGGCTCCGTAGTCTCTCAATAGTCTCATATTGGCCCTGGCAGGCTTTGACCTTCTCCGGGGAGCCCAACGCATGCTTCAACAGCACCAGCCCCACCCGGAAGATGATCTTGACTCCTGCATGGGCGGCAAGTGGTAAATGCAAAACATAGAGGCTGCCTGTATTCTGGCTGGGGGCAAGAATGCCAGACCTGCCCAATACCTTCACAGAAGAACATATCCCAGACTCGCAACACAGAGCTCCAGGGCAAGGTGCGTGAGAAGGCACACATGAACCACTCTGTCATGTAGAGCAGTGGGTCGATCTTCTGTCGGCTGAGGTGCTTGTGGGCCACTGGTGATACCTTCTGTAGCAGTGAGAAGAGGATCTCCCCATCCAGTTGGATCGCCTCCTGAGGGGACATGGAGGCCACAGGGCCATGAGCAGGAAGGCATTCATTTATTCCTTGGGAAGCTGCAGTCTGCAAGGTGCCAGCCTCTAGTCCCCTTTGTGGACCTTACAGTGAGGAGGGGCATGCGGGCAGAAAGAGACTGGGGGAAAGAAGAGGGAGGTAAGTCCCCAGGACAATGTAGGAAAGGGGATAATCGCTGGAGAATCCTGCCTGTCAGGGTCAAGGAAGCTTCCTGAGGCTGAAAGCTGAGACAAAGGAGTTTTTCAGGGCATGGCCCGGGGAATGGAGCTTCCAGATAGAGGTTTAGGCCTAGACCAATGCCACAGCAAGAAGGAACTTGGTGCCCTGGAGGAACTTCAGTGCCATCAGTGGCCACAGCTATAGGAAACAGAGGTGAGTGTGGAACTGATGATGGCAGAACCCAAAAGACCTGACCTGGCAGGCATGGGACTCACACCTAAAGGCAACAGAGGGCCCTGGAGCTGCTGTGGAGAGAAGGGCCTGGAGGGGCCACAGAGGGTGTCTACGCTGGGGTAGGTCCCAGGCCAGTCAAGTACTCACCAGTTTCTCACTGTAGTAGCCAGGAAGGTACTTCTCACAGATCTGCACCAGACACCAGAAGGCTTGCTATGGGCAACAGACAGGTGAGGCCTTGCTGCCCAGGGTTCCCTGTCATCCTGCCCACCTGCCCACCCACCCGCCCGCCCAGGGCCTGGTGGTACCTCTGCGGGCATGTGCATGAGCAGGACAGCAGCGATGGGCGCCTGGGCCTGGCAGTAGCCCTCCTCAGGCCTATACAGTGTGTAGGCCTTCAGCACACGGAACAGGTCCTGCTGGCTGTGGAGAGACCAGCCAGGAAGGGCAGCAATGACAGATGTGATTCTGCTACCTACTGCTCTTACCTGTGTGCCAGAACTGCTTCAGAATCTATACTTTCCTGGAGAGGGGAGGTGACCTGCTACGGTCTCCAAGTAGTCAGTCTCCTACTTGGCACTCCCACATGACCAAAGGAGGGAAGTAGGGTGAGATTCCCCTGTGACAGGGGAGGGCAAAGGCTCAAAGTAGGAGCAGGGCCAGGACAGGATGCCACACAGGGTGAGGATGTATCAGGCGATGGAAGTGGGAGCCCCTTACATGGCAGCTTTGACCCGTTGGCTAGGCCAACTTTGTCTTGGTCCCTGGCCTGCCCCATCTCACCCCTCCTGTCCCATCTCGCCCCTCCTGTATACTCTTCACCCATCCAATTCCTCCTAACCCTCTTTCTCCCCATTGAAACCTATTTCTAGGAGAGGGCCAGGCTGGGCAAGCTCTAGCACTCTGGAGAGTCAATGAAAGCTACCCCAAAGGTAAGAGAAAATGTTAGCGCACCCCTTAGACTCAGACCAGAAAGGGGAGATGCTGACAGTGGAGTTTGGGGCACTTAGCTTTTGGACCCTTGAGTTCTCCAAACTTGCACCTCTTCTGTACCTGACAAATAGGGTCTAGAGTCACTTCCCAGCCCACAGGGCCCAGCCTGCTCACCCGTGACCCCCCCGGGACACAAACATCTCATGGAAAGGGAACTGCCGGTGTAGGTCACGCTCAATCACGTCCAGCCACTTGGGGTCCCCAGGAGACATGTCTAACTCCTAGAAGAAAAGCCACACATTAGGGGCCGTGGAAGATGGAAGACGGCCCCTCCTGACAGAACATGGTTGTCCCAGGAATTGGAGGAACCCTGCACCAGAGGCAATGCCCACCCAATCCTATTATGGACTGGTAACCTCCTGAGAACAGGAAGGGAGGTCCAAGTAAGGATGCCTAAGTGGGGGCAAAGGGGCAAGGAAAGAAGGGTCCTATATACCGTAAGGGGGAATCCTAGCTCTAGGAGGACTCATGTGGGCAAGAATGTCCACCTTGCTGTGGCTGAAAGAATCTTCAGGCACTTCATTTAGGACTCAGATACATTATGTCACATCCTTAAGATGGAAGGCTACGGGTCTGAGCAAGGTGCTGAGCTGAGTATGGAGCACGTGTGGTCCTCACTAACTCTTCTTACCCTCAAAGACTGGTCCTATCACAACATCCTGTTTACAGATGAGAAAATAGCATCTCAGACCATGATGCAAAAGCAACAGATAAAACCTGAATATCAACAAAAATTCACTTATCCAAGTCCTTGTGGCTGGAAAAATGGTGGAGCCAGGGCTAGAAGCCAGGTCTGACTTAGAGCTATCAATCCCAGCCTCGCTGCTTCTCACTGGTGTGTGAGAGGGAATGGCATGGGGTCTGTGTGTGAGTGACTGACCCAGGGTGCTGTCTAGAAGGACATGACATCCGTCAAATTAACCTCAATTGCTTCTCTGGGTGCTGGAGTTTCAGCAAGTTTTACTCTTTTCTTTCAATTCCAAGAACATTTTAGTGTGTGTATCTTTATAAAACTAACTATTACAAAAAGAAAAGTCGTTTCTCAGTCATTTAAAACATTCTCTATCTTGATTTGCATGTTGGTTACATGGAAGCATATTATTTATCAAAACTCAAGATCTGTGTATTTTACTCTCTATAAATTCATACCTTGATTTTTAAAAAAGGAAAGAAAAAATAAATAGGAAAGAAACCCAGAGGGCTAAGCAGGGATGCAGAGCAAGTAAGAGTTGCCTGCAGGGTAGGGGCAGCATCAGACAAGGACCTTGGGAAGGAAGCCAGGTCCTCAGCAAACACCAAGTGGGCACCAACCTAGGCCAGGCCTTGGCCAATAGGCGACTTTATACAAGCCTTTTTCTTTTTCTCTCTTGTGCCCCTGAGTGGGAGTGTCCCAGCATTAAGCTAAAGAACCTAGTGTGCCAAGAACTTGACTAGAGACTAATGCCAAGAGGGAAGGCTGACAGTGTTCAAGGCTGGAGGGTGTAGGAAGTCGTTGGAGCCTCCACAGAGCACTCCGGAACAGACAGAGTGGGGAGGCAAGCCCCCCCAAAGCTCAAGGAGTCAGGGAAGTGGTCTGCATGTCCTCTCTGACATCTTGCTGAGCCTAAGAAAGCAAAACCTGAGTGCTTATCAAGGGAAAGAGATGGAATGGGAGCAGCAAAATGCTTCATCATTTTGAGGGATGCTCAGGGTCGTAGGCTCCAGGAGTCACAGGTACCCAGGACAGTCTGGCCTTTGGGGGCCCAACAAGTCAAGTATCTAACTGGAGGACAGTTCATCCTGCTCAGGTCCAGGTGAGCACATGGAGGATGGCAGCTATGGGGAGGATGCCAAAAGACAAGGAAGGAAGGGCAGAGTAAAGAAAGGGAAACTCACGTCAAACTTCCCAGGGTTCTGCTGTAGCTTAACCTTGCCTCCTGACAAGTACTGCCACGCACGGCCCCGCAGAGAAGGTGGAATGCCCTTCTGGCACCGGAGGCGGATCTGAAAGTCAAAAGAACAGTTGTGCCCATGTATCTGCTCAGGCAGGTTCCCTAGCCCAGCCGGTGCTTACTGGGCCTTCAGGGCACATATCAGTAAGAGCAGAAACAGGGAGAAAAGAGGACTTTCCTACTGTTGCTACAACACACATCCTATAGTGGAGGGGGGGAAGTGTCTGCCAATTAGATATGCTGCCACCCAGTGATGGCAGAGTCCCACAGCCCCTGGAGCCCAGTGAGATCTACCACAGAACTCCAGATCCTCATTTCCTGAATCAAAATGAAACCACACAACTTGGGCAAGCCCAGGGAAGGAACGGCACTCTGTGGGGCACAGCTGCAGATGCAGGAAAGGTAGCTCATGAGGTGAACCAGAATGTTCCCACAGGCACAGTTTGGGCACTTTCTTTTTTGTTTTTGACTTTCCTACACCAGTTTTATTTAAAACACAAATAAATATTTCTCTTTCTATGACAGCAAATGGTTCAAATAATGCTGAACACGAATCACTGACTAACACAAGTGCTTTAAATATGAAACAAAATTATTTTAAAAAAGCAAAAGAATAAAAGTTATATGCAAAAGAGACTTGGAATCTATAAGCTGACTCCAAAAATGAAATGAGTAGAAAATCTGTGGTGAAACCAGAACAGAAAAGGGCTATCATACAACATTCAGTCAGCTGAAGATGGATTGGTAGCGGTGAGTCTACACATAAATTTCAAGTCATTTTTGCTTGTGCAGAATCATCCAGATCTTCCCAAGACTGAATGGGCAGTCCCGTGGCTTTCTTCCTTTTCTGTATTCCCAAAAAGGCTACACAAAGTTCAAATTTTTTTTTTTTTTTTGCAGTTTTTTGGCCTGGGCCGGGTTTGAACCCTCCACTTCCGGCATATGGGGCCCGACGCCCTACTCCTTTGAGCCACAGGCACCGCCCTACAAAGTTCAACTCTTGATGAGCTGCTTACAATAGCAGTTCCTTAGGAGCCAACATGACAGGTGGGTCAGATTTCCCTATGAGAAACCAAACTGGCCACTGACAGCAAAATATCAAAATGGACAAGTCTTTCTTTCCTTCTTCTGATAATGAACAATGTCTCCTTTAAGACTATTATCCCCATCATGCTTGTTCCTCCACAAGTCTAAACCTTGAGGTGATAGGAAGGAGACTAACAGCAAGAAAAGAAAATTCAATCCACTAATGAGGAAGACTGGCAGGTATACAATACACCCCCAGAGCATCTCCATAACCCTACCACAGTACAATTCACTGTACTTCTATGGTCCACAGATAAATATTGGCAGTTCGAATGAGTTCCTTTTTGTCCCTCAAGGAGTTAAAGAGCACCAAATAAATACTGGACAAGGAGTTTGCTGGGAGAGTTAGAAATAAAACATCAACCAATTTTTGTCCCTGTGATAATTCAATGCTAAAAGGATGCAAGTACTGAAGAGAAGCGACGATTTTCATACTAAAAAAAAAATTCCTCAAAATCATATCGCCATCTCTTATAATGAATCCAGGAGTCCCCAGAAATAGAAAATTAGTTTCAGGGGATCCCTGAGGCACTTTAAAGCCTTAAAAAATTACAGTAATGGCTCGGCGCCTATAGCTCAACCGGCTAAGGCGCC